CTTTCTGTGTACGTTCGACCAGAACGAGAAACAGCGAGACCGAACCACGGACCAAAACGAGTTACGGGGACCGCAAACAACCACGATTCGTCCCTATGATAATTTCTACAACTATGCTAAGGGAGTCGCGTACGTATTGTTTGCTTTTCTCCTCCAACGCCGCGGAGCTTCGTCCAGTTATTTATTAACACTTTAATGGCCGCTAAGCGCGAAGACCGGTTCGATTCGCCGATCCCTAACTTTTAAATCGAACACTTTATAAATATTCAAATATTAACTCTACATAGTTTCATCGATACTCGTCGTTCTCGTAAATATCGCTAACGGTATCTTTCTATATTTCTTCATCCTCGAAATCTTCGATTCGATTAACTATCGATGGATTACTGCAATTAATTACACTATACGAGCACCTGAATGAACGTTGGTAAATTGAATATTTTCGAGAAATCTAACCACGCGTTACATCCACGAGTTTGAAGTTTTTACTCCCGGGAATATCAACCGATAAAAAACTATATTCGACACAGTCCATATTACGCTCACTCCGTAGTCTGCAGATTTATGGTAATACGAGCAAATATTTTCTATTAATCGTACGATAAATCCTCGAGTCGAATTTGGATACGACTGCCACCGATAGACCGTTCGAACGATAATTATAGCGAAACGTAGCGTTGTTGTAACCTGTACGGTCCTGCCATATTACTGTCATTGCAACTCGACGTACAACCGTCGTACAGTAAATCGTTACGTCCGTGGCTCCTAAGAGAGACCGTATACCTGTACGATTTTGGTCGCTACACCTGTTTGAGCGATAACTGTAAAGCGTGCCGGGGTTGTTACACAACTCATCGCACGGCTCCGCCTTGTTGGCAATACGACGCATCCATAAAACGGTACTTCGACGGTTCGATCGTGCCGCGGACTTGATGAACGACGGGTTTATAACGCGGTACGACTCTGCAGCGACCAATTCGAAAGCCTCCCCGTACGATCTCAGCTCCGCTATGGGAAACGTCGAAGCGTAAATATTTCTTCCGCGATAAAGCGTACACTTCCCTCGATCGATGTCGGTACAATAAATTCATCGATTAAAGTCCCAGACTCTGGAAACATTTAACGAGCATCGTGCGACGCCATTTTGTTGCAAAAGTAATGCCAGATTGTATTTGGATTAATTTTACTTTGGATTAATGTATCTTAGAAATTCCAAGATTATCAGCTGCTGACGGATGATATCGAGCCTTTTATCGAGGTAAGAATCCGTGCTTTTAACGAGGGACCAACTTTAATTCTGGCGGCGACGGACAGAGAGGTTTGTCTTTTAGAATTTCGTCTGTTTTGCAAAGCGTTTGAACGATCTGCGCGCACGCGCGCGCGCTCGAGCGATTCGTCCAGACGCTGATCGCTATCGTATTGGAAAGCGAGAGCACGAATCGCGTTGGATGGTTCGAGTTTCTCCGGCTAAGAGAAACTGGTTGCAAGACGTTTGGTTCCGTGACCAATTAAATCGTGTGCGAATTTGCACGCTTACGCCTCGTGCATTGTCAACCGGAAGACGCGATGGACATCGTCCTCGCGTTACGTGTCTTTAAACGAGAGCCCGGGTACCTGTTCCGGACAGTTACGACATATCAGCGTTATCCAATATCCACGATTAGTTACTTAAATAGCAGTTAATGGTGAACCTCGTCCATTATGAAGTTGCCCGTGGTGTAATAAAATCAATATTAGTATCAATTACCGAGTCTGAACTTAATTAGTCCGAATCGTTTCTGTCCCGGACGTGTCTATCGTTGCGATCTTGACCCTTTGTGGGGAACGTACGTGTACCTCGCGTGGCTGTTAAGATTCGTTTCTAACGATGTTCACGATGCGAGAGATATCCGTCGTTTTGTTTACGAAATACGATAGACCCTCGATTATCCGACTTGATATGATCGTGGTTGCATAATCGAGGGGGTCGGGAAATCGAGGGATTTTTCGCCGTTTTGGGGCAACAGGTACATCGCAAATAGATAGATTAGTATCCGATTTATGCGACCGTGATATACTTGTTGCAGTTTTTATCGCCGCTTCGGGTTAATTTATGACGGTTCTTGCTGTTAATGTTAGAAAGTCTCGTGTCAATAAATCCGTCGGTAACGATGCGCTGGAACGGATCGCTTGTTGATCGTAAAAAAGAGTACACGTCCGTAATACACGGTACCAATGTTTCGGTAAAAAAAAGTGGCCTTGCACGGTTCGCGTACAGACCGATTTTCGCTGAAACTTGTTCACCGTGTTTTCCCGCGGTCAGCACGGCGCAGCCTTCTCGGCGAGATAAATCGAATAGTCGGCCGATAGCGTATCGAATCGACTGGCGAAATTGACGCGCGTACTGGCGCCAAGACGCGCGCGAAACGCCACGCTTTAAAGATAGAACTTCGCCTCCGGTACGAAAGGAACCGAATCGTAACCAAGTAAAATATTCGACGCTCCCATCTCGTCGTTTAATATCATTTATAGCTCTTGCTCTCTGTATTACAAAAAATTTCAACAGACAAGATAACCGATAAAACCAACAGCAATTTTTAACGAATGGTTAAATTTTTATTCGATATATTTAATTTTATTACGCGTAACGGATAAACAGTTCGAAATTGTATTCTCGATACAAATTTAGCTTGTCTCTGGCGTTGTTTATGCCCGCGAAGAACGAACGATACGAACGGTCCGGGTACCGCGATAGCCGTTACGAACGAATTCGTAAATTCATGCACGAATGAAAATTTCGTAACCCATTTTTTTTGTTCGACCCGCGTCCCGGTAGGAGAAACCGCGCGAAAAAAGTTTGGCCGACGGAACGAATCTGAAATTTTGATTCGTCGTTCGCGAACTAAATTTGCCCGACACCGGCAAACGGCATACAATATACGGGCGTCTTTTATAATACTTTCGCAGAGTCTACGGAAGTCAGTCAAGATTGTATGCCGTTCGTCGACAATTCATTCGGACCGGAGCCGCGACGAGAACGAGAAGGAAAGACTGGCTCGCCTTCTTTCTCGAGTTTCTGAAGCTGTCTGAAGTACCGAGCTCGCGTACACACGGTTCGTGCATTGGTACGCGTCAGCTGCCACCGCCATTTTACCAGCCCCGGTATGGTAAATTCGTCATAACTCGTAGCTACGCGAGTTTAGCTTTGAACGGTACAGCGCATAATTAAAAATAATCCCGAAATAATTCCGGTCTGGTCTCATTTTCGAGTAATCCCGCCAATCCATCGATAATACTCGCACGAAGATATTAACGAAAAAAAAAACATTAAAGTATCTACTTCGAATTAACGACTATCCGATACGCGCTCGACGATCGCTTTGAAGTTCGGCCAATTGGGTTTTCTTTTCACAGTTGTCCGCTGCTCGAATCGACGGGGTATGATTCTTTTTGCATATACAGTAAATCCTTCCAATCGTGTCGCTATTTTCACCCTTCGTTGTGCCGTAAAATTCACGCGAGTTCCTAACACGTGCTCTGCCCATCGTTCGATCGGGGATTTTAAGTTTTAAAATGCAAAGCCTCTATTCGAAGATGGTTCCCTTCTCCAAAAATTTCCCAAATTCAACCGACTCCACCGAGATTCGATAACGTTCCACAATGAGCTTAAAGGGAGAAAGCCTCCCCGTTAAAATACACGTCGCCGTTACATCCACGTAACACACATCGGTACGCGTTAAAGAGTTAGCAACTTTCCCAATTTTGTCGCGAACGCGTACAAACGAGACACCGCCCCCCGCGACGATGGAAGATAACGAGCGATCGAATTTCATTATTCTCCCTTTCATCGTGTCACCGTCCGTTCGCGAGCCGGGGCGACACAATGAAAAGATTTACTGTACTCGGGGCGAAAGTTCGCGCACAGTCGGGCACCGGTGCTCGATCACGCGGTTTCGTTCCCGTCGTTGCGAACGCGTTAAAAATAAACGACGATCGTCGGTGACTCGGTCGATCGCGCGCGAGAGGGTTCAGGAGGATTAAAAAAAAATAAAAAACGGGGGAACGATCGTTTTTCGACGAGCTTCCGCGCTGGAATCGAGCGATTCGCGTTTCCAGCCGGTCGATCCGGATCCTCGCGGGGGAGCAGATTTCCCTCGAAAGCGTTCGAAATCGTCAAGACGCGTCGCGCAAGGGCCTCGAAAGGGCTTTCGCGCTCCCATTGTTCGAACGAGCGCAGCCAGTCCCGCCGTTTCACGATCGTAATCGCGTTTTTCAGCCGCTGATATCGGCGCGAGCGCGTAACTCGAACCGGGGGCGGAAAATAGGTCGAGGGAACGAGCCGCGTTCTTTCCGCGAGCCAATCGAACGTGCTTCGTCGATGCGTTCTCGTGAACTTTTTTTTTTTCTCTCTCTCTCTCTTCTCCCACCATCCCCCGCCGGAACGAAACTTCATCGCGTTCATCGACGACTCCTCGAGCGACGCTCGACGTCGCTCGTCGCTTTGCGTCGGTTTAATTAACTGGCTCCGGGAGATTGCCGCCCCACGAGTACGTACGCCGACTGGAAATCGCGCGAATATGAACCGATGGCTCGATATTCCGAACACGGATCCGCGTGAAAGAAACTTATTGGAAGAATCGGCGAGTGCGAACGGTGCCCCGTGTGTTCGAAAATATGGGCTACGGAATCGATGGAAACCGATTCTCGCGGAAAAAAATGTTTGCGAAGAACGCGGCGTTCAACCCGGCAATGTTTAATTTATTAACCACACGACGCAGCCGATCGGAGTGTGCTCGGTTCACGCGTATTCTATTTGATGCAATAACCGGTGGAATAAATATCGAAAACATTGGGAATTTTTGACCAACGAGTAATTTCATCCTAGGTTTTCCAAAGACCGTGTTTAACAAAATAAACCACGGCTCGCGAACGCCTGCGTTCTTCGTTCATGTTTTAAACACGATATACACGTTATATACTGTACGATAACTATAATTAAAAAAATATTTTATGCGACTCACAGAAGTGGTTCCCTGGCCCTGCGTAGTGGTGGCCCTTGTATGCTGCGAAGAGTCCAGGATTGATTCCAATCTGCGACAAAAACGAGGCGCGTTAGTAGACGCGTCGGAGAGCTCGATCGAGTTTCGTACCTTTCCTCGATGTTTGTTCGAATTATTACGTAAAGGCTAGAAACATTCAACACTTCGGTACACTTATTATTTAACAATACCCTCGACGTCGGTGTCGTTCAAAAGTTCGCCAGCATAAATAAAGCAAAAGGAAATAGGCACCAGCGACTACGAGCGCGGTCCAGGAAAGCATACGTAATGCCGAAGCTCTTAATTCAGTTTCATCGTCGTTCATCGATTTATTCCCCGCGCGGAACGCCTCTCGACTTCAATCTCGCAGAAATTATTACGCGGCAGGCTTATTTCCAACCAGTTTCCGTGCCCCGTCGATAGGGTTATTGTCTTGGCAACTTTGCTCGACGGACGTACTTCCGTTCGATCACGTGGAATCGTCGGATGAATTCAATCTCCCCGCGCCGTCGAAGACCTTTTCGCGAATCGAGAACTTCGATTCTGTCGTTTACGATGCGAGCGCGGGATAATTCGAAAAGAATCGCCGGGGAAATTCCTGACCCCGAGGAGACGGAAGCGCGACTTCTCCGTCGACGACTAGATAATCGAAGGAATCTATGAATGTAAAATACCGCAGAGAGGGGGGAGAGGGGGGGGGGCGTATATATACGTACATCGCGAACGTTGCTTTTCGCAGTTCCTTACGGTGAATTCCTTTCCCGACACGGTACACGCGTACGGATTTCACGTGCACGGTTCTTACCCGCGATTATGCAACGCGGTAGACACAGGTGTGGTAGTACCTGTTGCGCAACCACATTATCTTCGCTCCTCGCTTCGTCGGTTGGACAATTAATAACGACAAAGTCCAAGGATACGGGACAGGGACGCCGTTAGGCGCGCGTCCTCGGCGTCGCTGCAACTTTCGGCGCCCCGTTTCCGACACGGACGCCGCGCAATCGTCCGCAAAAAACACCCGCGGTTCCTCAGGCAACGCGTTATTTGTCAAAACTTTTTCCATAGGAAGTCCGTGCTCTTATTGCGCGAAAGCAGTCGCACCGTGGCTCGCCGTGGGTTACATTCCCGCTGCATTTTTAAAGAACTTCTTCGCCGAAGGTCACGCGAATCGACGGAGTGGTCTGCAATTAGCGATAATCGTTCGAACGCGCGTCTAATTGCCACTCGGAATATCATTTTTCTACCGCGGTTTTCGAACGAAGTCCGCGTCGAAGATGAGAACGAGGAAGTCAAGTTCGACGAAGTTGTGGTAGTTGGACGGAAACGTGATAAATGTAAGTTCAAACACAAATACTGAGGAAGCTCTATAATATTCGAATGATGTAGTCGGTAAACAAACAGGAATGATTCAGCCATCTCTTCCTATTAATAGCAGTGATCATCGAAGTTTTAGTAACTGTATAGTTTTCAGCTTTTTACAGCTTGTGTTGGTTAAAATTTTTTGGTCATTTTATAATAAAGTATATGTACAGAGCGAGACACCTAACGTATTCAGGGTGAACAACTGATTATATCTTGAACGAGGAGTCGTTACATGGAAGATTGTTAAGTTCTCGACGCAAACAGCAAGAAGGAAAGATCGAAACCTTCAAACTGTTCGGTTAATGGAATATGCGTGTATTTTTGTCGTTGTAAGAGTACTTGTAAATAATTTAGTGAAAAATAGGATATTCCATGAAGTTAACCTTGGCATCTACGAAGCGTCCGTGCTTGGAAAATAAAATTAATGCGCAGCCTAGTGACCCCCTCGAAATTATGCATTCCGTATATAGCAATTCGTCATACCGCTCATAATATACAAGCGTGAAATTAATTCAAGGTGAACGTGTTAGGCGCTTCAGTCTGTGCGTATCGTGTATTATTATTTTTTTTAATTATCGTACGTCTTTATTGCACACGCGTGTACGGGAGATGTGTATGAAGGATCAGTGACATTGAAGAAATGCTGTTTTTAAAAGTCACCCCAATTTTGAATCAATCACGGTAAACTTAACGATATTTGGTCTGTAAAGCTGGAACACAGACATCTTTTTACAAACGTAGGGGACAATATAAAGTTTGGAAATTATTGACTCGATCAATTTCAAAAAATTCCAGGGTACGAGTTAAAATTTGTTAGGGTGAATGGCGTCACGGAGGACATTGTCCCCATCGATTTCGTTGGTACGATTTCTGCCCTCGCGAATGATAAGTAAGGAAAGAGAATCGTAGGGTGGCGGTTCTTGGTTGGGAATCGCGTTATATCGTTTGTCGCGTACGGGTGGTTGAGTCCTCTCCCCTCCGTACATAAAGTACGTATCGCATTAGCGCGTTAACGCCAATGCGTTAGCCGGTCGGCCGGCGTCGAATGGCGCTTCGGCCGGGATAAACGAGGATAAAATGACGGGGGATGGGCGCGAGGGTAGGGTGTGGAATTGTCGCCGATTGAAAACAACGCGCGTCGATGAGACTCGACCCGGCCAGGTCTGGGTTAGGGGGCCGGGGGTGGCTCCAGAGGTGACATGGGACGCGGAGGGCGCACGGGAGGGTTGAAATCGGGATTGTCCAGGGGTAGAGGGCCCCGACGAAGGCCGGCCGACACCGGTGTCCCGCTGCGTTCGATTACAACGGCGCCCGTAATAACCGAATTGCCCACGGCCCGTTAAAGCGTTTACACCGTTTGACGGATGATCGACCACGCTGACTACACGTTCCGCGTAATATATGAATATGAACCAGCCGCTAACGGACTCTCCCGTCACCGAGTCGTAATTCTGTCGTTGCGTTCCACCTTCCCTGCGACGCGATCGCGGGCAAATATTCCCTCCGCGGAGTCGCGTCTCCGGCCTTACGACGAAAGAAACATTCTGGAACGCAATTCTTTTTTCTGGGGTTCGTTGAAATCTTTGGCGCCGTTACGCTGAAATATTTTTCAATGCGTGTACATTAGGGCTCTGATCATCCAGAATGACCGAATAGACATTGGCTAACAAAAAAGTCACACGCATGCATCCAGGAGTGACATCGATACTAAACAGTTGGCAAATAAAGCGTAGGAATTTTATATATTTTACTTTTTATTAATAAATTGTATCACTACATTGCCCAAAAACGAATTTTTAAGAAAAATCGACATGAGATTTTTCGGCGAAAAAAAAAATTTCAAATCGTTTAAAAAAAATTATTTCTGGCCCCAAGACTCGATTACAATCATTTTTGGTGAATAGACATAACCCCGAATTCCTACGCACTTTCGAGAAAAAAATTCGAAGTACTGAAATTTTTCGGCGAAAAAAAAATTTTCAAATCGTTCTGAAAAAATTATTTTCAGCCACGGGGATTGATTACAGTCGTTTTTGGTGAACACACATGCCCGCGAAATCCTACGCATTTTCGAGAAAAAAATTCTTTTCTTCCGCCGAGGAGTATCTCCGTGGGAAGACTAAAGTTTGAAAAACGCGAGCAGAACGGGACATCCTCGAGCGATTTCTTGTCCCCCGGTGCTGTTCACTTCCTTGTCCCGCAGGGTCTCACGCGGCGTTCACGTACGATTGTGCATTTACGCGACACGCAATTATTTACAAAATTCTCTCGTCACCCAGAACGACGCGGTTCCGGCTGTTTGGCCGCGTTTCGTCTCGCCGTTACAAAGTCTCTACGCGAAAAGCAAACCGGACTACGGGCGCGCAGTGGGGGCCGTTCCAAGTTTCCCGGCGTGAAATAAAAGAACCCCGTCGACCGAGAAACGCGTCGCGGAATCGCTCGCGACGATGGATGCGTAACGATTTCGATCGGCACGGGTGTTGGGACGAAACGACGCGCCGCTGGTAGAAACGCGAGGGCGCACGGAGTTCGCGCTCGTTACCAACGTCAAGCGTGATAACCGAATTGGGTATGGACCATTAAAGCGATTACGACACCTGACGAACGCGCTACAAACGGCCATTTGTCGTCGTTACGTTCCTACCGTCTCGCTACCTTCGAGATGGATTTTCCTGCTAACTAGACGTCCGTTATGCCGACGGCTAATCGGATTAATCGTTCTCCGCTCGCGAAAAACGACGCGACGGAATCTCGCGGAAATTTACGGCTCGACGGAAGTCGATTAGGAACACGCGACACACGATATAAAGATGTTGTCGAATCCAGGCCTGCTCTCACCAAGACACCATTCGCTTCCATATGTATGTCTCAGGCTTCGAATCAACCCTTATCTAGTTCTTCTACCTGGAGTACATATTTCTTTGCTTTTCCTAGTTCTTCGTCACAGCGAATAAAATTAAAATCACTCGTTTGCGAAATACCTTCCAGATAAATCGATTTTCGGCGGGGATAAACACTATCCGGAGTTTACGTTACGGTACGAGGGTGGTTGAAATATAAACGAGTCTTTTCGCGCCGCGACAGTAAATATGGCCGTCGCTGTAGTCGACGCCTAACTGTTTATTCGTCGCGTCTGACATTGTTTGGCGTTGCGCGGGAACATCCGCGAGCGGTCGTTCGTCACTTATCACCGTGAGCGTGCAACAAGTACCAAGTTCGACCGCGCGACGAATCGTCATTAAATCGTCGGGCAAAGGAGTGCTTTCGTACCGATCGAAAATCTCGCTGAGACAGCAAGAAACTGCCCGCTAATGATACGTTATCGCCGTCCCGGGTATTCGAACGGCACAGATTTTGTCGCGAGGCCTGCGACCGCCGCGTACAATTTAACTCATGATCATCGATCACGCAGCGGTACGACGCCGGAGAAAATTGAACGCGTTCGCGAGTTTATTCATGGCGAACGACGAATCACGGCGCGTGAAATTACCGAAACGAGAAAAATTAGCTACGATAGTGTAGAAAATGTTGTAAGAGTAACGCGGCACGGGCACGGTCTGCCCGCAGATGGGACGATCTTTTAGAAAATCAACGATAACGAAATTGCTTCGTGGCTCTTTCATAGTTTCCCACGAGCATTTCGTGATGCTTTTTAAAAAGAAAAAACACACCTGTGCCTCTTGGTCGTGTTATTTTTACCATGTTTCTGCGCTCTGGGCTTGCATGGAAGGGAGTTGGATATGCGGTTAATAATTTTCCAGCGTTTCTAATGCGTGCAATCGTTCCTATATCCTCCAGAAGGGGATACGAGGAAAGTCGATGAGGCGAAAGGGTTGGAAATCGCCGGAGAAACAAAATGGAGAACGTCTGACGAACTTACTATGATAATGTCGAGGTTGCTGGTGAGATGGTCCGGGAGGACACGCTTGCTGACTTCCTCCTCCGGCATACCGTCGAATCTGTCGTGCTTCTTCCTCTCTTTGTATGTCTTCGCTCGCTTCTTGGCCTCGGCTAGTTCCGCCCTGGATCAGGATTGCTCAAGTTACACGGGAGATTAGAAATTTCGTCGTATTTTAAGCGGCGCGACGTTATCGTGTTTAGAATTTAATCGCTCGCGGCCGCTGTTATCGAATTGGATTAAATTACAAGGAGACCTCCGGCTTTGGCTTACTAGTCATTTGTTAAGTAACCTCTGTCGATGGGATAAAGCGACGCTGTAACCGCGTTACGAGATTTGATTCGTGCTACAAAGTGTCCCGCTGAAGGCACCTTGATGCTTTAGGTAATAGAAAGAAACGCTCCTGATAATTGAACACTTTTGTTCTCGTTGGAATTGGATGGAATCGTTTTAAAACTAATAGCTCTTGTTGCTGGAAAATTACAATCTTCGAACTGCTATTTGACGGACAAAAATTCTAAAAATCTATAATTTAATGTAGCTACCATCATAATGCTATTAATTATCGACTCAATACGAAGCCTTAACCAGGAATGAAATGTTTTTTAAAATTCTACTCCCCGAATTTGAATTCTATTCGGCGCACGTTTCGTCGCTTGGAACGTAAATGCGCGTACAGAATGTTTGCTATCGTTGGATGTAATCTCTGTCTAGCGGAATACACCGTGCAGCCGGGATTAGTAGTTTAAGTAACGAGATCGTCGCTCGACAGAACGAATCGGGAAGTCATCCCGAACCAATCCGATTTCGGCCGCGGTAAGAACAAAAAGAGGGGAAAATAAAAAATTCGTTCGAAAAAGCGAGTATTTTTTTCCCCCCTCGAAACCGCGCGCAATTGAGCTTGTAAAAATCGCGTGACGCGGAAATTGACTGCAGCTAAATAACGCGAACTGGTCGCGAAAGACCGGCGGTGCCATGCGACGAATATTCCAGATAATTTCTGTTTTATTGTTCATCGATTTAATCCGCGCGCGTGCCGTACGTTCGGACATAAAACTGGTTACAGAGGCGTTCGTTTTCCGATCAATTACCGAGAGGACCCCGCGCGTTTCCGTTTCGACCCTTCGTGCATTCGTCGTTTTATTTTTGTCTCTTAAACGTACGATTTACAAGGAGAAAAGAAAAGTTTCCAACCCCGTTGGTTGGAAACGGCGTCTTTCGCGGTGGAAAATGGTCGTCGGGGGCATTGTTTACCGCGAGAGCTCCGCTTCTTCGCTGATAAACTAAAACCCTCGGACAGTTATAATCGAGTCTAGTCGCATCGACCCGCGTCTATCGACCTCGCCGCCTATTATTATTTAGAACGTAACCGTAGCCGTCGACCGCGAACGACGAGCGTCCGCTTTGCTTGCCGAAATCATGGCCCGTAAATACGCGATTATCGAATTGCCCGAGCGTGTCGCGAACCTCTGCCCTTCCCTCCAGGAAGCCTCCGAAACCTTTTTCGTAATAACGACCGCGTACCCGTACACCCTCGAGGTTTCCCCTCGCGAGACTTTTAACCTTACTTTAAACGGCCAAGTTGACTTTGTCGGATAGTTTGCATAATGCGAACGATATCTCGGTCCCGGGCTGTGCAATTAAGGCGAGTTTAAATTCTTCGGTGAAACCGGCTGAACGAGCCGTTTCCAACGATCCCTGGTCCCCGGGCTTTATCATAAACGTCTTGTCCCCGTCGACTGATTCTGGATTAAGGGCGTCGCGTGCCACCGGTGGGTTTTGCCGTTGTTTTTTGTCGATTATCGCCCGCCGCGATAAAGATGATAACGAGTTTCTCTCAAAGGTCGTCCGCGATAACGCGAGTTGACGTTGTAGCGTTTTGTCAGATCAGAAAATCGACGCGGGTTTTTCATCGGCAAACGATCGCCACGATGGGTTGGTAAAGGCGAGCCCAAACACAATTCGCGGGGCCGGAAATCCATGAAAAAAAGGTTATTGGTCACTGTACGGTGGAATTCGGTAAGAGCCGTGCGCGGTGCAGTTTTAAAAATCCACGCTGAAACTATCACGGCCGCAAAGTATTGTGTACACTCGGACCGGATGCGTGAAAAACTTCATCAAACACAACCTGCGTCGGTCAATAGAAGAGGATCTATACCGCATCACGCATCACCCGTTCAGAAACTAATCCGCCCGGTTTATATAACTTCAACCCGTCCACCATGTTCCCAACGCTCTCATTAACAACAGATTTTCACATTTTTCTACGTTGAAATTATTAATCTTTATCGATCGTTCTTATTCTGACTCGAAATTTCCAATCGAGCTACGATTATTTCGCCGTTTATTTCTAAACTAATCGAGGCTCGTAACTATTCGTAAGAATTTATATAAAACTAGTAAATTCTTACTCTTCCGGTGTGAGAATCATCTCGGACTTTCTCTTGCGGCCTCGCTTCTTCGGCTGGTGGGCCGCGATTTGCGGATTCACGTTGCCGTTCATCACGCCGAGGTTCATCTGAAGATGTTGCGGCCCGGACAGTGGACCTGGCGGCGTCGACGTAGGCGTAGCAAGGGATGTTTGGCCCCCGGAAGGACACGTCATGTTCTCGGGATTGCCACCCGGGCTGCTGGCCGTCCTCATACCGCCCATCGACATCTCCTCGTCGACGAACGAGTACGGGTCCACCGGGGTCTCGCACTTGATCGCCACCTGGAAATTTCGTTAAACATCTTTTGTTCCATCGTTCGTTACGCTTAACTCCTATAACAATTAGAGGAAAGCAAAATTACGCGAGAGAACAGCTTCTCGTTTGCTAGAGGAACTCTCCGTACTCAGCTTTTCGTGAAATTGTCTTCTCAAATCATTTTCGTGAGTATTTTATAGCGAAATAATTATATATCCTGAGTGTCATCCGACCGGTTGAATGATTTACATTTTTTTTGTAATTTTTGCTACCAAATTCTGGTTAGCTTCAGATGTAAATAGGAAATATATGTATAACAAAGACGAAAGAAGTGAATCTTCAGTTCCTACTGTCTTAAAACAGCCTAATAACGCGTATTAAAAATACTAAAACTTTGGACGCGTGCAGTTCCGAAACTACTAGCGCTTTATCCATTTTTGAGCAACTGTTAGCAGCGGCAAAGCTTCCTCTTTAAAATGGTTTTTTGTTTTTGACGATCGGACTTTCCGTTTTCGAGATATCGTAATTTATGTAAAAGGGCATTTTTCTTAATTTGACTATCTCTGTCTTCGTCTGACGCGTCGCGTCGTGCCTCTTTGTCGCACGTGAGTCGTGACCGAGTGACCTAGTTTCGGGCGTAGTATTTCTAAGAATTTACTACGCACTGTTTACTATTTTCGCGCGCGCGAGTTCATTGAATTCGCGATGTAAACAAACGCTTCGGTCCGTCGTATCTTCGTAACTAGCCACCGCATCGACTTGAAACTAAAATCCTCATATCTCCGGAACTAATAAAGCTATCGACTCGTACAAACGCTCATTTTAAAGGGCATTTCATCCTCTATCCAACGAACCTAACAGCTATTATTATTTATGTTATCTTCTATGTTTATTTTAACATTTACTTTGACGCTACATACTCAAAGTAGTTTCAGCACTCCCTATTGACCATACGACTAATATGGGATAAAACTGGACTATAAATTGTTCATTTAATTGAAAATGAATTTAAATTTGTATACCACAATTTAAAAGTTGATTCTTGCTTTTTTTTAAATAACGCCTTTCAGGGGATCCTTCAATAAAGAAATTTGCAAGCTTCTTCCAATAGATTTATTTATAGTTTTACCGAGTTTATAACACTGTATCATTACAAATGAATAATTCAATAAAATTCGCTACACTTTATTGCCTATGGAATGCGCGAACATAAATGTGAGTCTCAGGTCCGGTTCCCGGGATTTAGACTTTCATCAAACTAACGAAGTGCTGCTTTTTCGCGCGGATTTGCAATGCAGAAACGGCATAACAAATTTCCAGGCCTCGCCGTGCCAGGTATTTTTCTTTTTATTTCCTCGCGTAACACGCTCCTGTTACGCTTTCGAAAACTTGTGGACCCTCGCGAACACGTTCGTGGATCCCCAGGGATAGACGAACCGCAGTTTGAGAAACACTAATTTCAGGAGACCGTGCCAGGAGCAGTTCTTAATCACGAATAATTACGGTAACACTCGTATCCGTGTTCTCAAGTAACAAAATAAATTCTTGAATACGTCACAATGGAATTACTGAAGATAATCTCCCTTGCGCCGACATTTTTCTTTTTTGAAAATTGTTTTATGATGTTCAATTCTATTCGGTGACTTTTACAGTGATATTTGTTGTGATATTTGTGTATTATTTTATTATATTATAAATTTGCTGCTCCATCGGATAAGAGTCGCTACTCCAACGCGATCCGATACTGGCTATCTTATCCAAAGAGTTTTCAAGAACGTAACCCTGCACGAGGGAACTTAACTCTGGTAATCGATCTGTTATGATTTAGATTGCATTCCCAACCCTTTGACTACCCGCGACCCATATACGTAGCACACGAAACACCGATCATTTTTCGAAGCAACCGAACGACACTCGAGGCACGTGGCATTGTCACAAACCCGAAGGTGTCTCGATAAGAATGTGAATGTTAATAAGTCGCTTCCTATTCACTCGACAACAATAGCGATCGCTGCGCTGTTACCTTTATTCTGTTTTACCAGACACTCACTTTGTCGCCCGTCAATTACGCGCGCGGCTAATTTGCATTTTTATACACATTGATCTTGTCGTCGAAAGAAGGATCGTCATAACGGATTTTTAAATTCTCGAGCAGCATGTTCGAGCACGATCTCCGCGTTAAACTACGTGTCGGAACAATAGCAACGCATAATAGAAGCAGATAAAAACCTACGGTAACATCGAAACGCTCGTGTCCACTATGGATGCTCAAATTCGTGTCGATATATCGATGAAGAAACTGTACTAGAAAAGGTTCGCCCATAAATACTTCGACGAAAGAGAAAGCAGAGATGGAAATAAAGTTGAGAAAATTTTGTTGCGCAGAAAATAAATTGTGTACGAAAGCCTGGGCAGGCAACAATAATCCGGATGTAACGTCATTATTATACAACGCGATAATTCGGTTTTCCGATATTATCCTTGGTCGCGAATATTTTCAGCCGTCTTTCGATTAGTTTTTCGGAAGACTTGTTGCGGTAGCTATATTTAGGTTCATGCGATCAACGTCCAAATTTACTACCGTATCCGATGTTTGGTAGCGAGATTTGCGAATTTAGATCCTGTATTTATTTGTGGCTGAATCTTTCAAGTTCTTCCTCCGTTTGTGAATTAACAGCAAACAAACTTTCGATTCTCATCGCGTCTTGCCTTCATCAAATTTTTATCCGGAACGTCTTTCGGAAAGTTTGGACACTGTCTCGACGATCTATTTTCTTCGCGCGAGAGGGGAGGGGGAAAAATGGCGGTCGAGTGCATCTTCTTTGGCCTTTGCGCGAAAATAAATTAAGACGAACGCGGGTACCATTATCCCCGAGATATTGTCCGCGACCTTCGGGCGAATCGTGCGCCACGAAAGAAAAAGAGCAAGGGATAGCCTTTATCGGCGACTGGCAGACGTCGCGGACGATTATCTTTCGGTTTTTTAGCCTCGATTTGAGGTTATCTGGGAGCAAGACGCTCGCGTGAAACGTACGACGTTGAAAAATCGAGACGATCTGCTGTTTCCATTTCGGCGTAGTGTTTTTCAACGCACGAGAAACAACCTTTTGGACGCGAATGAGAATTTTTCACGCGGAAAAATGTGGGCCGTTCGAACACCTGTATCGCTTAAAATTAGTGGAAAATCGAGGTTCGAAGACTGGAGGACCGAGAGTTCAGGATCGCCTTCGGCTCGGTCGTGCCACGATTTTCGACCCACCCTGTACATTTTGTACCATCTCACGGTTGCTCGTAATACCGGCTCACCTTGAGAAATGTTGCAAGTTGCGTCCGCCGCGATACGGTTCGACTTCTCTCTTTTTCGCCGTCGCGGCGGTTCGGATTTTCGAAACCGTGTATCGTTTTTTTTTCTCTTTCGATCTTTCGTGTATCGAGGAGCGGCCAGGTATGGATGCGTGGATCCACAGATGCATTCGCGCGTCGCCTTATGTCATTCGCGGATCGCGAGAAACAACGTTGCATAATCGGACGGGTAAAGCTAACATCAAAATGCAAATCGACCGCACGGCGTTACGAAATTACCCAAAGTGCCGATTGCGCGAGCCTTTATCGCTCAATTTATCGGCCATAATCCTGATCGGGAGTCGGCCGGATCTATAGCCGCGGCGAGGACCCGATCGTACGTTGTCTTTATTGAGCAATAATTTCTGTGTTTTATTCCCAGATATTTCTTCTTTGTAATCGCCGATTACTCGCGGGCTCACGGTTACGTGTCCCGATTAATTCAGCGACGTTAACCGCAACCATTCGCGGATTTTATCCTTACGATCTCGGATTCAATGACAAGGAGGCGATCTTCTCACTAATTTCTACTCGACTTCGTGGAATCGTTCGTTTGGATCGAGGAAATCAAACGCACGATACGTTCTTTTATTCTTCTCTCAAACACCTGAAAGATCCGTACCTTCCTTTTATTTCGAAGATACTATGAATCAAGTTTCTTGCTCGAAATTGTAGCAAAGTGCAAAAAATGTTAAGTTGTTCTCATTAATACTGATTAAGTTGTTCGCTTAGTCTCTAAACGTAACGTTTCGTTTAAGGAAAATCCTGGCAACGTATGCAATTTTCTCGAAGTAAAATTTGAGGAAGGAGGCATTTATTAAATCAAACAAGTGGTGTAATTATATTAAGTAATGTCGTCAAGGATACTGAATACCGGTACGTATTGCAACGAGCTATAAAGAATGCCCCTGAGTGATGTTTACGATGTGAGAGAAATCCATCTATTCCCTCGTAAAGCGTGTTTTCACGATAGTAATGCCACTAATTATAGCAGCACGTGTACGATACGAAATCCTGACCAGTGGTGAAGCAACCTCGTTTAAAAATTCCCATTCTCTCCACTCTAAATATCGTAACGCGAGATTAGTCACTGGGAATCGTGGATAAATATTCAATTACGTTTACGAATGATTTATTTTATTCGTCATACTGGTTGAAATGTTCGTGGCTGTCGAATCTTCGCAGTTCGTACAACAGGCTACCCAAAGACACCTTTGAATATTCGATTTCCTATCGAATGGATAATTCGAAACTGCTTCTGACACGGTGTGCGCGAAGTCGAGGGAAATTTAACAATGACAAAGTTTGGTCGTGGCTGTCGCGACTCTTGTTTCGAGAGGTAACTGCGAAATACAAACGCAGAAAAGAAAGATTCAAAGAAACTAGTATTTCTTCGTTTTTCGAAACCATTACAGTGAGAAAAGAAAACTGCACGAGCCACGAGAGTGCTATGAAATAGAAAAGAAACAGAGAGCAGGAGATTTTTTAAATTATCTATCGTTTCTAATTGTTCCGCGTTCAAAATTGAATAAAATCTGTAGGCATAAATAATCCCGTGCGTGGCTCGGTTTTTGAGAAAATTGATCTTGAAACGCGTTCGGGGCACGCGCACGATTTGGTCGAAACCAGTTTAACCACTTCGAGGATACCAGCCGCGTACGTTCGGTCGTTAAGTTATTTCGATATTCATAACTGGATTTTCCAATGATACGATACGGTAGCATGGTCGTAAAGTGGGTAAATGTCGTGGGTCAATATCAGATCGAATTTTTGCTCGATTCGTGCTAAATAATTCGTCCTTAACGCGTCTATTGCGTTTGTACCAATTTATAAAATCCTCAAATTCGACTAGGAAACGCCCAACTGAAATTTGCAAACTATCTCCGCGCCAGGAAACAATCGTAACAATTCTCGATAGTTACGAGGAAGTTCGAGAACGGACGCGTTGCATGTCGAATGATCTGATGATTTCTTCTGGACGGAAATAGGTAAAAAAAACTCACCTGTCCGAGGGTGGAAGCGGTCGAGCCAGGTTGCTGGGGTTGATGCGCTGTCGCCGATATCGGCGTGAGGGGCGTGTGCGGCGTGTGTGGTGTGTGCGGTGTGTGCGGTGTCAGCGGCGTGTGGTACTGCTGACTGCTGTCACCACCGGTGCTCCTCATCTCGAGATCCGGACTTGTCTCGTATCCGTCATCCCGCGCTTCCTGCTTCACCATCACCCCTGCGCAGAAAAAGCCATCGCGGGTGTCCTTTCAATCTTCTCGGGCTTTATCGTCATCAACGCGGATCGCCAAACTTTTCGCGCACCCGCGCGCCAACTGGGACGCGAGTCCACCGAATTTTAACGTTAACGTTCTTTTGCTTTTGGCGCAATTGGATTTCATTTCTCAAATTTAGTCAAATTATTGGCACAGCTGCAAAACGAGGGTCGATCGAACAGTTTTGGACGTTCAGGAAGAAAATTTTCTGGACACCGGGATTTGCTCGGATGCTCGAGATACCCGAGAGAGACTGGATATCGAGCGATATCCGATGACGCGAGGTGACTGGGGTAAAGTCGAATACCAACGCTACGCAATACGTGTATATACATATATAGATTACGCAAATGCAAGATTTCAGAGTCTTGCAATGTTTTGATAATTATAAATAATTAATTACTTCTGTCTAGACATCTTTCGTTTCGATAGAACGCCGTCGATAAATCAATGGATCCCCGGGTTGTGCGACGCTCGGTAATTTTAAACCGTTGATTATTCCTGTTTCGTTGGCCGAGGAAAGAAGGAAACATGACGGATTGTTAGATATTAACGTGCACGAGGAAAAACAATTTTGTAGAAAAATCAAGATACCCGGGTAATTAGCCGTTTACAATTATTGTGTGTCACGAACGTTCTACGCCCGTTGATTTATTCCTGTTATCGAAATAGAGAGCAAAACAACTCGTGTATTTACGATCGGGGCTGCGTTGGCTGTTCGAATTCCCTAAAAAAGTGTTACAAAATACAGTCAGATGTTTATACACCTGTGTCGGATATATGTATAAAATAAAAATATTCTACAGGCAGTAAGGTTATTATTCGAATCAGTGTTAGTCGAGCAAATTGTCGTTTTGTAAAGAATATCTTCTGATTTATTTAGAGTAGAAGCAATTAGTGTACGATTATCGACGATTGTAAATTGTGATTACGTGGCGGTGCCCGATTTTAACCTGTCTACTTGGGCCGTATCGGATGTCACGAGAAGCCACCAGGATCTCGAATACGCGGGTACCTCGAATATACGAGCAAAGTCAATAGTCCTACCAGGCACAGTGCTCGCAAAAGGATTCCCGGCGGTTACGTGTTTCTCCTCACGACCTGAGAGGGAGAACCGAGATAAATTTCAGATAATACGAACGCGAACCCCGATAGCCAGGGGAGACAATTAAGAACTCCTGATTTCATCAAAATATTCCCAAATTTTATTTAAAACGCTTCTGAATCTACCAAAAAGAAAAATACGCTTTACGCTCGAAACTTGTTCAAAGCTGTTTACAATAAATGAAATATCGCTACAAAGTAGCACGCCTTCGAGTTACCGATTACTTCCAGCTTCTTTACATTATAAACGTATTCCCTTTTGTCGCTATCATAGCTTTTTTCGCGTATTTGCAAATAAACAACATTCTTCCGTTCGTCAACGCAAGGAATACGGTAGAAAAACTCGACACACATTTCGCGCGCAAGTTTTGTCCGAGCGTTTCTTCCGTCCGCGTAGATCCGGGCGACATTCCGTCCCCGATGATCGCGTTTTGACTATTTTACAGGTATTCGCGGAATATTTTTATCGAACGACCGTCCGGGGGGGGGTAAGCGGCGCGTTATTTTTCCAACGGGCTTATCGCTCGAGGTATATTTTTACACCGTGAGTCAACTTTTTCGCAAACGCGAACCGCGTTATATCGCGGCGCTTTGAATAAAAGTGGCCGCACGCCGTAGGAAAATCGGAGCCCCGGCAATCCGCGCCCCCTTTTTCGCGATTACTTTTCCCCCGTGTTTCCCTTATTCCCGTTTCCATTCCCACGGTTATCGCACGGGAAATATATTATTAATGTTCGGTCGGATTTCCTTTCGGTCGCGTGGCCCGGGCGTGGAAAACCGACCTTTTCCTTCCATCGTTCCATCCACCCCCCATCGAGTTTACCCCGCAACAGCCAAAGGGTTGCACGTCGAGTCCATCAAGATTTCTTCCAATACACGTAACATGCAGAGCAAAACATCATTTTCGAATTGTCGCTTGTTTACGTAGGGGTGGTGTTTGTGAATCGATATTGGGGTTGTGAAAATATTAGCAGATAATAAAAATAAAATTCTCCGGGTTGTAGTATAATTTTTATATTAAAATTCACGCGTTCAACGATCGTACTTGATACAAATTATGGAAATCATGGGCTCGACGACACCCTTGGTTTGTAACTTGATCTGTCTTGGGTTAGGGCAATGTTTCTCAACGCAAGGGGGTGCTAAAGTCCTTTAGGGGGATGTTGAGGGAACCCACAACAGAGATCCGTATGTAAAATCGCCGAAGTTTATGACTGATTTCCCCCTAAGCCGACCGAAGCCATTTCGATCAGATTTTGATCAAGTGCCCCCACTGATATGCTAAAGAAACTCAATTCACGGTTTATTAACAACCCTTCTAGGGGAAAAACACGGTCATTTTTCTCCCCAAACTTTCGTGAAACACAAATTTTATATCATAATAGTCTTTACTCTGTTTTACAAGTCAATGTTTTTCCTATATTTTGATACGGTTCCGAATTTATCGTACGATTAACAGAATCGTTGTTGCTGTTTATTGAAATGTTTCTTGTATGTTCTTGCATCTACTTTATCTCCATATACTTAATTACAGTTTTATTTTGCACTGGCTTATCGGAGTAAAGAGAGGTCAGGAATAAATTATTACTCTTTCTTTTTAACTCGGCAGAATTTCTGTTGCAATTTCGTTCCACGCATTATCTTTTCTTTATTAGTCATCTACGTTTGAAGAAAGGAGACACCTAATGAAGTGTGTGCAATGCTTGGCGATATTCGAGCGGTAATCTTTCTCTTGAAAATGATGCAATACTCCACGATGTTACACCACTTTCCACATAAAGGAATTTCTAACGATATCTCGTATGAACAATTTGTCAACAGATAAATTTTCTGTTCCAATTTTAACACTAGAACCACCGACAATTATAGTGTGGTTATTTGTACTTTGTAATGCAATGGAAATAAGTGTTCATTCATTCTCTTATAGAAAATTACGGTAAATTTCCAAAAATTCAGTAAATTTTTTACAGGTTTTATTAGAAATTACGAATGGATCATTTTGACTGGTTTGGTGGTTCCATTGTTAAGCAGTAATTAGACACCAGGTGATTGTCCAATATCCAGATAGTCAAAGTCTTGTCATATTTTTATATCAAAATCAATTGTCTATGCATCAGAGGCAACAAATATGAAACTATCCAAGTGTCCTAGTAGACGAATATTATATACAAAAATAATTAAATAAATTCCAGTAAAATTTCTTTGTAAAAAAGCTGCGACAATATTTTATTTTTAAGGTATAATTTGACGCGAAAAGATGACGCGTGCAACCCCTTAATCGGCAGTAGCGGGAACGCGTGGAAATTTGGGCAACATCGAGTTCAGCCGCTGGCAAACGACGCGTAAAACCGTTCAATGGGCTACGAGAAAAATACTCGCGATAGTCCCGAATCGGCCAACCGGCGTTCCGCAAAAATCCCGATTTTTCTCAAATATTTTGCACGCGTCCTTTAACCCCGATGATGCGCGAAATCTTTTCGGGCCGTTATCGCGTTATCGTTCGCACTTTCGCTGACGGTCGCGCGACCGATCGTATTTCTGTTTTTAAACATCGTATCTCCTCGAAGATACGACGTACCGGAAAATGTTGCGCAATTTCGATCGAACGTCGCTTCCTGTTATTTTTAAACCGCCTATCGAAATTAAGTTGCACGCGTCCGCCTCTTCGGGGGCCTCTCCCCGCGATTGCAACGCGGACCTTAAGATTATTTTTTTTAAACGCGATGCATAACAAATAATACCCGTTTCTAATATCTTTTTTTTTTCTTTAAATTCTTTGACTCCGCGGGAAACTCTCGTGAAATCTCACGGATAGCACGGCGTAAAATTTCATAGCAGATTCCGATAAATTTGCGCTCTTATGTCCACGGGAAATTCCGTCCGAAAAACGAGATTCGAAACTGAACAGTTCCCTGGTTCGAGCGGGGTTTTTTTTCGACGTGCCAAACGCATAAGTCGCGGGAGCGTCCAATGGCCGTCGACAGGACGAGGGGAATTGCTCCGACTAGCATTTGCAAGGTACAATATACAAAATTAAAATCATATTTGATTCGTTATAACCTTTGTACGCGTAATAGCGCGATATTGGATTCTCACGGGGCAGGGGTAACATTTTTTCATCGTACCGAAAATTTCCTCTGAAATATCGTCGTTATTATTTTCATGCATTGTCGACGTTTTGCTGTGAGAAATTATTAACGCGGAGAAGGGGGGGATCGAGGGGGGGGGCGGGTGGGGGTGGAGGGAGGGTCGTTCGACGCACGACTGATCTTTAAAAGTGAATTCTGCTAATAAATTGAATGCAATCGCTAATTTAATACGCAAAAACGTTTCCCTGCATTTTTCGACGTGCTAATTAATCTCCCTTTATCGCGAGACTCCCGTTTCCGTCGCTGAACGTAACGTTGTTCCAAAGTCGCGTCTCACCTTGGGAGCCGGAGCAGTTCATCGTGGTCCCGTTCGGTCCTCCATTTTGCACCGGCGACGGGTACGACCTGAAAAAAGAAATCGAAAGGTACCGTTAATACGATCCCCGGCGTTCACGCCGCTAACCAATTCGCGATACGTTTGCCCGATTAACCCCCTTCGATGGAAAATTAAGAGACCCGCCCGCATCATTTCTCTGTAACGAACTCGATTCTCACGGTACGCGCGGGTTAATACGTTCAAAGTGCTCAAATACCGCGTTTCGAGGAACCATTCGAGGAGTCTTCGTTCGACACTAAAATTATTTATAAACGTTAAAATATAAATCGCAAGGAGGCGTTGGGTGCTAACGCTTCGTTGATAAATTATACGTTCGTAAACGGGCGAGTGTTTAATAAAAATTTCAAAACCTCTGGAAACGGAACGTTAAAAAGTATACTGCTTTCGCTTTCCGCTAAAAAATTATGAGTTTTTGGAAATATAAATTTGCGTTGCATACTCTTCAGTTTATTTACACTTTAATTGTACGCTGTTAAAAATTCACGTTCGTTTTCGCCCTCTGAACGGTGGAGAATCGATCGTCTAGAAAATTTTGGAGCTCGTACGAGCATCTTATTAGAGTTTTGCCGAAATTGTACAGCAAACGTAAGATCCTCCACGGAATCCGCGAAGTGACATGTGGCATTTCAATGCCAAAACGCTTCCCATCCTCGAACTGTGCGCTTACTATCGACTTCCTGTCACAGAACGGTTTACTCGATGCTGTAAAGGGCACGGGCCCATGACTCAGTTTACACGGTACTCATTTTTGTGTATCGAGCGTATCGAATTTATGAAAAATACGATAGAAATAAAATGTGGAGCACAACGATATTACACCCTTCACGTTACGCGTCCAAACCGGATATAGACGAATACACGCGTGCTCGTTTAGCTTGTTATTCGATCTCGTGGAAGTTTATTAAGATTATGGATGGATCTTCGAGGATGGAAAGCGAGACGTCGCTCGCAGAATCGAATTCAATCGTTCGTATCGACTCGAAGCACCCCGGGAAAGAAATATTCAGTTTATCGCTCAATTTATTTGATTTCCTTTCACGGACCTTGGCGCTGAAAATGAATTCAAATTCATCGAACAATATTTTCAAGGGGACGGTTTATCCTCGGGAATAGAACAGAATAGGTATTGTTGCGGGAGCTATATCTTCCCGAAAGCAACAGTTAGCCTCTTATCTGAAAAGATAAATATCCGATCCTAGTCCGCGTTGGACCACGTGTTAAAGCACCCTTCCACGGTGTCTACCTGCATCGAGCTTCCATTTTCTACCGTGCAAATAAGAAAAAACGGGTATTGGAACGAGACAATTGCTGTAGTATCTGGAATTATCCGCACAGTGAAATACATTAACAAAAATTAATTTGCTCTAAAATCGACGAACAATTCTCAAGCATAAAAAATGATTATAGTTGTTAGTTTTCTACTTAGCTTTAAGCCTTTACAAAAATCAATCTTACTTCCTTGATACACGGAGATGCCGTTTCTCCTTCATCTGTTTATATGAGAAAGGAGATAACGCACCCCTCTTAAATGAGATCATCGGTGCCTCATGTCACGGGCTCTGCGTGCCTAGAAGAGTTAGTCTTTTCGAGCCATTCAAAACGAGAAGATCACTTCCGATGCGTGTAAAATAAAATATTCACATATATATAGAATATAAAGAGTGTTCAATAAAACCCATTTCCCAATAATAGTTAGTAGCAGATACTGTCTCAGATCTTTCAAAAGATTCACCATATAGTACCACCAATTATTATATTTTCTAGTCCAGCAAACAACCCTTAATTTCGTCCTCCTGCGCCAGAACGAGTTTTGTCAACTATTTCCGTTTTCTTTTCAGAAATGGACCCGCGTGGGATGTCTTCGCTCTTCGAACAGCAACAGGTAATTTCTGCACGTTTCGAATGTTATTAATAACCCTAGCCACGCTTCTAAGTCGCTGAGTTTGAAACGAGCCCTCGTGGCGATATTCGAGTTTCCTTTTGGGTGAAAAAACATAGGGGACGATTGCAATATGGCCGTCGAAAAGATGTTTCTTGGCGTTCGTTGGGAGTATCGCGGGTAAAAGCTGCGAGTCGTCAGACACGCGTCCGGTTATTTAATTCAAAGAAGCGATAAACAAACGAGTGAACGCGACGGAGAAGAAAGGGTGAGAAACGGTGGAAAATCGTAATCAGCCGGGCTGTCGTCGGGGCGCGCACTCCATTTAATTAATTGTGCACCCCATAAGCACGCGCCAATTATGATTGTTCTCTGCATTATCCGGCCCCATTCGTCTCCCGAGAGTCTCGATCTCGTTTGGACACCCCTCTTTCACCCGCTCCCGCCTTCGATACTCTCTCTTCTCCCGTCTTTCAATGAATTATGAAGACTCGACGAGCTTCGCGGCGCGTCGAAGCCGAATCGCTCGAACACACGTCCATTTCTGCTTTTAAGCGACAGATTGTATTACAGGGGGTTCGAGAATCTTAACGCGGGACTCGAGAAACCGAGTCTGGTTACGGTTCTCGCGCGGAACCGGAGACCGGATAACTTCAAAGCGACGCCTCGCGACTCGAATCGTTGCAGCTCCGAGAATCTATTGTCGTCGCGTTGGAGCGGCTTTCTCCGGTAAAAATAGTCGTCAACGCGACCTTATTCGGACTAATTTTAACGCTTTCGCGGCCCGGCGTTTTCGGCTAACCTTCCCGCGGTCGAACGACGCTGACCGTTCGAAGAAATTATTAAAACTGCCGATACAGTCGTCGTTCGTTATCGATAAATGTTTTCCCGGTAATCGCGAATTAACGTCAAACTTTCGTCGATTCGTTATCGTACACGGCGAAATTAATTTCGCTGTTATTAGTATTGTTCGTAATAGTATATTGCGAGCGTAAAGCGAATCGTAGTTGGTTCGGGAAAGCGTAGACGGGTGGGATAGGATTCGCGAGAGGGTTGCGGTCATTACGGACTTCGGAGTGCTCGTATAAACTTCTACGGGCAAGTGAAACCATTACGATCAGCTGTGTGCTCGATCGATTAAGTAGCTTCGCGCTCGTGGAATCGAAAACACTTTGCCGGAATAATTTCTGCCGACAGCATCGTTCGGCGGGAAGTCACGAACCCGCCTTCCTTTTCCTTTCTTCGAACTTGTATCCAAGTATGCTCCCGATCGAATCGCGAAGTTCGAGCAAACGACCGGCGAATTCTCCTCTTCCAGTAATTTTCTACACCGACGCGTTCTTCCATCCGCGCGTGGGCGATGTGTGTTAGAAAATATGTTAAAAACAATTTGTTCTTTACGGTTCTTTAGAAATTTTCAGAACCTGTTCAATCTTGTGACTGTTTTTCAGAGTCAATTTCAACCCTTTGGATTCGAAGGGTTATCGAAAGCAGAGTGGAGGAGTAAAAGTTTAGTAATTAGAGAGTTCTGAAAACAATGTTCGTTGCAAATGACGCTCGAAATGTTACATATTACCCTGAACGTAAGTGCGTAATCGGTTAATGAGCGAGAGCTACACACGTCGAAGCGTTTCCGCATTTATAGCCTTACGTGCCGTAATGATACGTTCTCGCGTGTCTTCGACCGTTGTTACCGGGCTCGCGATAAACTTTATTTTCTGTATTTTCGCAACGAAAGCGGCAGAGCGGCGATAAGTCCGTTGAACGAGTCTGCCGGGGAAAAAGCATCATTTACGTTAGAAATTAGTCTCGGAATATCATGGCAAATATTGATTTTCGACCCCTGTGCTTTCCAATATCATTTTGCGCAGCGTGTGCTCGGAATAAAAAAAATACGGTGTTCCGTTCAAACAGCTCGAGAGGAACCAAAGTAACAAGATTCGATTACCGGCGCTCCAACCCCCCTCCTACTTGTTGTACGAATTTTCATTCGTCGGAACAAACAGTTTACGAGTGATTAAACGCGATCGATTTAAATTGAAAAAAAATTCGATCGACGTACAAATTGGAGGTGTTATTTGTCGTCTGTTGTTCGAACCGGGAACTCGGTTCCCTCTTCGGTTTCGTTCGTGCAATTAAATACCCCGTAGATTTCGACAATCGTTCGAACGCAGTAAACGTTCGCGTTTTTATCGACGGGGGATTCAGCTTGTCTTTGAGAAGCGAGGCGGACAAACGGTCGTGAAAAAATTCGCGGGAACGTCTTGGTACGACGCCGGGGACTCGAAATAACGAGGCCCGTGGTTCGCGCGGAGCGTCGTGACGCGGATCGAATGCGGCGCGAGAGCAAGAGGGCGAGAATAGATGCGACTGTAATTGGATTTACAGTCATCGGTTCGGTTCGCCGACGGACGGAGGCCTAAAGGCCGACGATACTCGACACCCGGGAAAGTTGCTCGACGTTAACGCGTAGGGCCGTAGTCGTCGGACGCGTAATGGAACCCCTCCGGTCCGCGGCGCAAATACATATTACGTTCGAGACTAAATACAAACAATACGGCGGTTCGTACGTGGCGGTATAATGCAGCCAGTCCCGTTGTTTCCGTCAAAATTGAAAATTACAGACGTCCCCCCCCCCTCCACTCTCCCGCGGCTCGATCCGTTTTGTGTCGAAGGCCCCGCCAAAAGGGGGCAAAATATGAAATCAATATTTGCGTAGTCGCGCGCACGCACCCCCCTCGAGCGACATTTGTACTAATATTTGCGAGTTTTCAGAGAAATCGGCTCGGATTATAAAAAATAATTCGACCGTATTGGTTAATCGATATAAATGAAATTTAGCTACCGTATTTATTTTGATCAGCGATACGTTTGTTCTGAATTTTTTTTTTTTTTTTTTTTACTGAAAATTGATACATTACGATTCGACCGGTCGCGGGTCATCATCAGATTAACCAATAAATGTGTTCCTCGCGTATAATTCTCCGACGATACTGCGAATTGCAGTAGAACCTCGATTGTTGCGCATGATTGGCGAATGGGACGGTCCCCGTGCGACGATGCGGCCCGTGAGTGGTGGGGATACGTCTAATTTCTTGCAGTAATCGGGGTCCTACAGTTCTTGCACGCAAAATTCTCTATAGATCCTGACTACAGCAGAAAAGTACCTCATTTAACCACGCAGACGTTCTTTCCTCGTATCTTATACATTATTCCCGAAGAGGGAACTAATTAAATACTCGGATGTTTACTCTGGAATAATTAAAGAGTAAACAACTTCGCTTTTGGTCTACCGTGAGGGAATAATTTCAGTACCGGGGTTCGTTCGAGTTCTTCGATTCTCTCGGTTTCTTTCGCCCCGTTTCACCGTTCTCCCGGCTCGCGATACGGGAAAATGATTCTTGGCACGCGACTCGTGAGGGGGGACAATCGCGAGGGTGGCGAAAGGTTCACCCGCTCGCTGGGGAGAGAGAGGATCGCCGTCGGGTTAACGCCGACATTTTTTTGTAATAACTCGAAACATGCCGTAATTGCTATAACCGAGGCGAGGAAACCTGGCTGCGGCTGACCATTTGCGTACAAACACCGGGGTTCCCTTCTGCGAGGACTTTCAAGCTCTCCTCTTAAATTATAGACTACGCACCGCTCGACTTTTATGTCGGGCCCGGGTCTATTAATACTGCACGCCGCGTCCTAGGAAAAACGGTCCGCGTAGCGTTTTATCATAGCTCTCGTTCGCGATAAATCACCCCTTCCGCGGGACCAGAAGTCGATACCGTCGCGCGACCTTCGACAATCGTTTCGGCGTTTGCGGAATCTCGATCGAACCGACGTGACTCGAACTCGAATCGGTATCTTGGTCACGTGGTCCACTTTGCATCCAGCAGTTTGTTTCTTAAAACGTCACACGGTGGGACAGATTCTTCCAAACGCGGTCGTAGTTCGGTTAATCCAACGATATTATAATTTACGTCTCGACGATTAATTTCTATTTATTTTTTAACGCTCGATTGAAAAGCGTGTCGCTGCTGGAAACGTTTAAATTCTAGGGTGTCTGCCTATTTGTTTTTTTTCTTTCCCGCTACATACAACCCCGAGGACAGAAACGTGCTTGCGACTGTCGCGGACAGAACAATGCCGCAAAAGAAAAGCCTCGTCCGGGACGAAACGGTTACGTAAAATATCTCGGACAGGCCTCTCGACGAGACTTCGCGATCGAATAAAAACATCCGCGTAGGCCTGGATTGGATTTACTCCTTGTCGCGATTATTTAATCCGCGGAGAACAAAACCACCCGACGAGACCGCCCACGCTCCTCGAAAGAAGACGTCTTCGATGCTCGTTTCGACGATCCTCTTCGCGATAACGTTCGTCGGCCGTTCGATTGATTTTTAATGCAAAATACCCGCGGGTGCGACGGTTTTTCCCTCGGTTCCCGCGAGGAAAGCTTTGCCCTGTATCGACGATGATGTTATTCAAAGTACGCGCGTGATTTTATCGGTTTTCCCGCGCCCCGTTCGAAGAATTCTCCTGAAAACTCAGCGCCACGTTTCTTTCCCGATTTCGATAATAAACAGTCGAGCGTTTGAACAGAGACCCGGAGTTAACGAGCTGAATTTACATCGCTTTATAACTTCGCTATGATCCTTCGCGATCTGAAGTTCCAGTTACCGTACAGATACGGAGTTATTAAAATGGTTCCGAATCTCGAAGCAGGTTGCACGTCCGAATCTCGTGCCTCGAGAGTCCGTTTCGTGATCTCGTGCAAACCTATCTGCTTTTCCGCCATGTTTTGTGGGACTATCGCTATCAACGCGACGATAAGACGCGCGATATAACGCGTTCGACGGCAGCGATGGCTAAAATTCTTATCTAGATCAAAGTGTCCAGAATAACGGGATAAAAGATAAACTGGTTATCAGTGGCTCGTAAAATAAGTTTCAATTAGACGATTAGCCGAATAATACAATTTTCAAAATAATTAATTCAAATTAATACAATTA